TATCATTGTACCATCTGAGGGAAGAGAACTTGCACTTCTGTGACTAAAGCTCTATAAGAAATTTTTTTCTTTTGTTACAAAAATTTTTAATTAGCCAGGCGGTGGTGGCACACACCTTTAATCCCAGCACTCGGGAGGCAGAGCCAGGTGGATCTCTGTGAGTTCGAGGCCAGCCTGGGCTACCAAGTGAGCTCCAGGAAAGGCACCAGAACTACCCAGAGAAACCCTGTCTCGAAAGAAAAAAAAAAAAAAATTAAAAACAAGACGTTAGGGCATACCTACTTGTCCAGGTTGAGTTTATGCTCTCACTCCTCTTCATCAGGAGGGATCCCCAATTCTTCATCTGTCCACTGTGAAGGATCTGGGTACGAAAAGTGGCCCTGGTGACAACCAGGCAAAAGAAAACAAAGTCAAGAGTTTGTAATAATAAATGCAGCTAATTAAGTTCCAAGATAAATCTTGACTGCAGTAATTACTACAGCCAGCACCTGCCATACATGAGAACTAATCAGTGACTCAACCCACTTCAATCTGCCCATTACACACAGTGGCTTGAAATTTCAGAGGTGGCAGCCTAAGTCATTGAGTGTTTATGATGAAGAAGAGTAGGAGGAAATGGAGGCCACAGATATATACGCATGTATATTCCTTATCTCAGCAATTTCTCATAGTCCTGGCAAAACAAAATGTTTCAAAAGCCTTCAGCTCCGACTATGAGATTCGGGAGCCTCCAGGGGCAGCACTCGCTCCTGACCTGGAGACCTATCTGGCTGACATATCCTCTACTACCCACAGCCGAATACTCCTGACGGCCGAACTGTAGTGAAATGCAGATGTCTCCAGCAGGAAATGTGCAGCCCAAGCAGCCCCTCCTGAGAAGCAAGGGCACAGAAAAGTTCCAAGAGGACAGAAGCAGAGCACCCTAATGCTTCTGAACCTATCAAAACCTGTGTATTGTTTACATTTCCTTATCATGCACGTGGGTATTTGCCTACATGCCACAGCATACCTTGGACAGTCAGAGGACCGTTAACTTAGGTCAACTTACAGTTCTCCTGCCAACACATGGATTCCAAGGACGGAATTCGGGCTGTCAGGCTTGACTAAAGTGCCTTTACTTGCTAAGCCATATTGCCAGCTAAAAACAGTTTTGTTATTTAAATTGGAGGATTTTTTTTCACCTATCCTGAAAACAAACCCAAATTTACCAAAATTCAAAGTGTCCTGGACCTATAAATTTCAATGCCCATCTTTGTTGCCTTTTTTTTTTTTTTTTTTTTTTTAGTGCTGGAGATGAGACCACAGGGAACTCATTCATGCTCAACCAACCTCAAGATTTCAGTGTCTTAAAGATGTAATTTCCTAGCAAACAGGAGTCCATGTAAAAATGTGACAATAAGCCAGGCGGTGATGGCGCACGCCTTTAATCCCAGCACTCTGGAGGCAGAGGCAGGCGGATCTCTGTGAGTTCGAGGCCAGCCTGGGCTACAGAGTGAGTTCCAGGACAGGCTCCAAAGCTACACAGAGAAACCCTGTCTCGAAAAACCAAAAAAAAAAAAAAAAAAAAATGTGACAATAACTCCCCTTCCCAAGACAAATTAACTTCTATCTAGTACTCCCCAATCTGGTTGCTCTGGGCTCTGGACAGAGAAGAGGATGTTCGACATTTTAAAAGAACTTAATGCTGGGTGTGGTGGTGCCTGCCTACTGCTTAGAAGGCAGGGAGGGGAGGATTGAGAGTGAAGGGCCAGTCCTACCTATATGGGTAGTTTGAGGACAGCCTGGGCTACATAATATCTGGCTCAGAACCTGGCAACAACCTAGATGCACCTCAACTGAAGAATGGATAGAGAAAATGTGGTACATTTACACAACGGAGTATTACTTAGCAGTAAAAAATAATGACATCATGAAATTTGCAGGCAAATGATGGAACTAGAAAAAAATCATCCTGAGTGAGGTAACCCAGACCCAGAAAGACAAACATGGTATGTACTCATTCATAAGTGGATATCAGATGTAAAGCCAAGGATAACCAGACTACAACCCACAGCTCCAGAGAAGCTAGCTAACAAGGAGAACCCTAAGAGGGACACATGGGTTTCCCTGGGAAGGAAAAATAGATGAGATCTCCTGAATAAACTTGGAGGGCGGGGGAGGAATGGGCAAAGGGGAGGAGATGGGAACATGAAGGATCAGGTTAGTCGAGTTGGGGGCCGGACGGACGGACGGACGGACGGACGGGGAGAGTAATGAGAGAGATATCTTGATAGAGGAGGGAATTCTAGGGTTAAGCCAAGGAAATTCCCAAGAATCCACAAGGATGACCCCAGCTAAGACTCCTAGCAATATCGGAGAGGGTGCCTGAACTGGCCGCCATCTGTAACCAGATTGGTGACTACCCTAATTGTCAACAGAGAGCCTTCCTCCTTAACTGGTGGAAGCAGATACAGAGACCCACAGCCAAGCACTGGGCTGAGCTCTGGGAATCCAGCTGAAGAGAGGGAGGAGGGACTGTACAAGCCAGGGGGTGGGGTGAAGATCATGACAGGGAAACCCACAGAGACAGCTGACCTGAGCTCATGGGCTCTGGACCAACAGCTAGGGACCCTGCATGAGACTCATCTAGACCCTCTGCATGTATATGACAGTTGTGTAGCTTGGTCTGTTTGTGGGGCCCCTAGCAGTGGGATCAGGAACTGTCCCTGGCACGTAGATGGCTTTTGGGAACCTGATCCCCAGGCCGGGTTGCCTTGCCCAGCCTGGATGCAGGGGGAGGAGCTTGGCCCTGCCTCAACTTGATGTGCCATGCTTTGTTGACCCCCATGGGCCAGAAAGGAGGCCTGCCCCTTTCTGAATGGGGAGTGGATGGGGAGTGAGGTAGATAGGAGGTGGGGGGAGGGAATGGGAAGAGAGGAAGGAAGGGAAACTATGGTTGGTATATAAAATAAATGAAAAATTTAATAAATAAAAAGAAGAAGAAAAATACCTGGCTCAAACAGAAAAGTTAAATGTGAAATTTAAGCTACAAATGAAGATAATTGTTAACTCACCAATCATAAAAGAATTACTTCTAGCCCCCTCCCCTACCTGGCAACCTAATGGAAACCATAAATCACAGATCTCCCCAATGTACATCACCATGGAAACAGGTCCAAAAACGACGTTTCACTAGGTAACAAGACAATATGGTGGAAAAGGGATACATCTGGACAGGACAGGATATCTACACACAAGCTAAGCTAGCCATGCCATCTTTCTCTCCTGCTCTCAGATCAGGACTAGAACCATTCTCCCGCACTTACCAGCACAGCGTCCGAGTCATGCCAAAAGCGCCACAGAATCCAGAACCACATGAGTGAGCTTATGAACTCAGCCTGGATCTTCTGGTTTCGTGTAAGGTGGGGAAACTCCCTGTACTTGGGCGGAATGTGCACATCACTGCCAGCACTAGGAGAAAAAGCAATACGAAAAATGGCTTCTTAGTGCATTTCCAGAGCAGAAAGTCTTTCAGCTTTCAGATGCATCTTTAAAACTGAAGCTAGCACATCTCATCTACACCAAAATAGAGACCGACCGGCTCCCGCTTCCTTCCCATACTCGTTTTTCATTTAGCTTGCTTTAAAAATGGAGACCAGGAAAACTGGCTGTACTGACAAGAGGCCAATGTATGGTTCTCCCCTGCTGTCTTTTCTCCTAGCAGAGGACATCAAGTGTCTTGCTCAATCACTCTACCTCATTCCCTTGAGAAGAGGTCTTCCACTGAACCCGGGGCTAGGTCAGTGGCTAGCAAGGCCCAGGGATCCTCTGACTGTCCCTATAGCACGTGCGGAAGGCAACTCCTGGCTTGTCCTCTGAGTGCCGGCATTGGAACTCAGGTCCTACAGCTCCTGTCTTCACCAGTGAACTAACTCTTCAGCCCTGATAGCTGTTGACAAGCTGGGGCTGTTTTTATTATTCTCTTTCATTCTAAAAGACTGCTGGCAGGTATTTATTGAGTATTCACCATGTGCAGGTACCACACTGGACTTATGACCATTATCTGTTCTCTGAATATTTGTAACTTTATGCGACAGAAGCTGTGATTCACTGTTTCATAAATTGAACACATGTATTTTGAAGACAAAGCCCAAGAATGTTGCCTACAAGCAAATAACACTAGTTATTTTTTCCGTTTTTGTTTTTCATTTTATGAACCAAACAAAGATATAACTCATGTGCTGGGGATGTAGCTCGATGGTACAGTGATTGCCTACCATGGGCTCAGTACCCAGTGACACAAAAGAACAACAAAAAAACAACCCTTCATTGGGATTCCAATCGTCGTCAAAGCAGCTTGATGATAACGGTCCATTTTTGTGTAACATTTACCCAACCTCTAGCACCTTCATTTGGAAGGCTCTGAATGAAATCTCAATGGTGTGAGAGGTGACTTTTAATGAGGCATCCACTCACCATGTGGCACAGGCTGTCCTTGAACTCACTATTCATCCCGTTAGTCTGGAACTCATGATCCTTCTGCCTCTGCCTCTGCCTCTCAAATGCTGAGATTAAAAGAGTGTTATCACCATGCTCTATTCTCTTATGGACAGGATATTACTGTGTAGCCCAGGCTAGCCTCAAACTCCTCATCCTCTGCCAAAGCCTCGCCAGCACTGGAACCACAGGACTTGCTAACCTATTACTTTAAGCCACTGTCAGGTGCCACTGCTTAATTATTCAAGATCTAGCTGTGCGAGTCAATATCGCTTTATGTAAACAAGCCGTACTGGGTAACCCAATGTAACAATAGGTTTCCTCGTCTGTAGACTTCAGCTGCAAGCTAGGCATATAAGTGGCAGGTCAGTAACTTCATTAAAGTAAGCTTTGCATCATGCTACCCTTACAGTTCAAACCCACCATGGCAACGCTACACATCTTGTTATTACAGGAGTGACCTTCTAACTATGAGCTAAAACAGGGAAGCCAACTCATTAGAAAGTATCAGGGCTGGCCTGGAACATGGTCCATCGCACAAATGATCTTGAACTTCAGATCCACTGCCTCTACCCCTCAGATGCCGGGGTGACAGATCTGTCACCTCACCCCTGCTTTATCGGGGGTTTCTGGGGAAGTGCAGGGGATCAAACCTACGTTGGGCGAGCACTCGAACAACTAAGCTACATCCCCAGCCCCAAGTGGAGAAAAGGGGATTGAGCAAAGGGATGAAAGACAATAATTTTAGGGAGAGAAAAACAATAACAACTATTATCATGATTAAGAAATGCACATTTTTGAGCTGGAGAGATGGCTCAGAGGTTAAGAGCACTGGCTGATCTTCCAGAGGACCTGGGTTCAATTTCCAGCAACCACGTGGTGGCTCACAACCATCTGTAATGAGATCTGGGGCCCTCTTCTGGCCTGCAGGCATACGTGCAGGGAGAACACTGTACACATAATAAATAAATAAATCTTACAAAAAAAAGAAAGAAAAGAAAAAAGAAATGTAAATTCTCAACAAATGCCTAGATGATTATGTCATGCTACAAACCCGGCTACATGCACTGTGGCAAACTGGACACTCTGAAAACCCTTCCAATTAAAATAAACAATATAGGGGCTGGAGAGATGGCTCAGCAGTTCTTCCCGGTCTTGAGTTCTATTTGCAGCAACCACATGGTGGCTCACAACCATCTATAATGGGATATGGCAAAAGGCATACATGCAGATCGAGCACTCATATACATTAAAAAAAAATAGGATGCTAAATGAAATAAAATAAATAAGAAGTCCATTTTCGAGCATTACTAACCAAGCACAAATGCCTGAGAAGCAATTACTGAGGCTGACATTCATAGGGAGTCCATTCAGGCAGCTAGGAGACTCAGGCTCCAACCCGAGACAAGCTGTCTAATCATTAGGCCTCTGAATCAAGCTGTAGTACCATAATAAATAGATGAAAGAGTAATAAACTAACGAGAGCCGGGCGGTGGTGGCGCTCCAGAACAGGCTCCAAATCTACACAGAGAAACCCTGTCTCAAAAGAAAAGAAAAAGAAAAAAAAAAAAAAAAAAAAACCAACGAGAAAGAAACTGAAACTTGTTTGCACCCAAACTCTACCTGGGTCAGACCTGTGTAGCCCCAAAACCCAAACTAAGGGCTAGGGACCTAAGAACGCTTCCCTAATTGGAGGTAAGGGAAATCCAAACTAAGGATTTAGAGTGAGCTTGGACTGGAGGCATCCTCCAGAGGATAAAAGAATTAAGACTTCAATGTACCTAACGGTAAAAATAACGGACTTACTACCTTCCTGCCTTAAGGTGTCCCCGTGGCTGCCCAGGACTGTTAGGGCAAGTCCTCAGTTCTCCAGGGCACTCCCCGTCCGGCCCTCACTTGTCTGAGAGCCCATCTCTACCCGACTCCCTGCGCTCCCGACCCCCACTGCCCGGCTACACGGAAAGTCAGTCCCGGGGACTGTGCGAGGCTGGATTCTTATCACTCGGGTCCTAGTTCATGCCTTCCCCTGGGATCCCCGTGCCAGCCCGTCCCCTCCACCCCACCGATCTCGTTGGGCCACTGTCTCGGTCCAGGCAGACTACAAGACCCAGCATTCCTCCGGGGGGGGGGGCAGCAGAGTGCGCACGCACCCGCCCGGGCGCCAGCCTCAAGGTGACGGCGTCGGGCCAGCAGCGCTGGTGGTTCGAGCCAGCCGCGCCCTCATGCCCACCCGACACTCACTGACGGACTCCACCGCCTCCAGCCGCCCGCGCGCCGCAGCCCCGGAGCAGACGGCCTCCGACGCGACCGAAAGGTGCCAGCCGCGCCAGCGCAGACATACTAGCGGGGAACGGACCGATCTCCAGCCCTCCCACCCTGATGCGTCACTTCCCCGAGTCCCGCCCCGTGACGTCACGGCGTCGCCCGTCTCTACCTGGGCGGATGGTGGGCCGCAAGGGTCATGCTCGGGCCTGTTGGCGCCTGTGGCCGCTCTACCTTCTATTTGGCGCACCTTGGAGACTCCGGCCTAACGGGCGGACAGGCTGTCCTTCGGGAGGAACTCGGGCTGTCTCGTGACGCAGCCTGGCAAAGTGCTCCCGTCTGACCTCGCTGCTGCTGCTCCCTGCTTCGGCTTATGTAGGCGGTGCCTTCATGGGTGTTCCTGCCACTGTGGGCCCCACGTTAATGGCCTTCATCCTTTCTGAACCACGCCATGTTTATAAGATCTTTGTTCCAGTATCGTTCTGAAGCCTGATGACTGACTGGCAGCCAGGGTGTTAAATCGCAGTACATGGACCGGTGGCAGTGGCATCAGGATCACCTGATGAAGAACCTAACCCTGCAATCTCGGAATAAGTAAGGCCAGGAATAGAGGTGAAGGCTCCTGACTCCTTGATTCTTAGCCAGCCAGGGATTCTCAGTTTTGTCTCCTGTTGTTATAATTGCAGTAAGCAAGCAGCAAAACGAGGACGTGAGGGTAGGCCACTTAATACCAGCGACCACCAAGATGGTAGCAAACCTGAGAGCTGACCTCAATTGTAATAATATTCTGGTAGAAGAAGCAGTAGCACAAATATAAGCACATGTCGAACTGTGTAGCTGCGCTGGTGCACGCACTCGTCCCTTTTCGGGGGAGGGGGTCATGACTATTCAAGCTCATCCCCTTAAGGCATACCTTCCTGTTCTGAGCCACGAGGACTGTAGGGTAGCCTGCTGTCATCATTACAAACAGCTGTCCTTCCTCTCTCACGTCAGATTTCCTTCAAGAAACAAAGGCTCCACTTGCCATTAACAAAATCATCCTCCTGCCTTAGCTTTTATCTCTCAATATTGCCTCTGTCCAAACCTGGATAAATTCCAACCCTCTATGACTCACTCCTAAGATCCCCAAATTGTTGAGGTTGTGAGAAGCGGGTTTTTTCTATAAAAAGTGGCTAGCACACGAAGAGCCAATACTCCAAAAATCTCCACCCTGTAAAACCTTGTGATCATCTGGGAAAGCTGTTTACACAGAGGCCTTTCATTCTGGGAACTTGATGACAGCTACTGACCCCTCCCCTCCTTCTTTGCATCTATTAGGAATTAGCCAACCGTGGCAGGCTGTGAGGTTGATCTTTCTCCAAGAGTCAAAGTTAACACCTGTGTTAGAATTACAAGTGAACTTCCTGCCCTACTGTGCTTGCGAGGCCAGTTTAGGTTATGCACACTCTTTTTACAAAAAGGCATTGCTTTGCAGGGTTACTTTTGCTATGTTCTAGTGAGTTTTTGGGTTTTGGTTTTGTCTTGTTTGGGTGACATTGAAAATACTGTTTTTAATAAGGTCTTCCCTGCTACATTATAGTTTGGATTTGTATGTTTTCAGAATATGCAGTTTTAAGTTATGATATTAGCCTGCCAAGCTCACACTTTGGAGAATCACTACGGTGTTCCAAATTCAAGAGTCTAATATGGGAATAGATACTTATCAAGGATAGACCTGAATTTAGTGACCCAACTGCATCACATATAACTATTAACTTGCCTTCTGTGCTAACATATGGGACTCTTTGCCTTTGTATGTAACAGGAAACCAGTCCTAGGAGTTATATCCAAACAGAACATATGATTATGAGACCCTGAATAAACTTGACTTCCTCCCACCAAGCCTCCAAATATTGGTTTTTGGGTGGCAAGCAGGCAAGACCTACTCTGAGAACATAAAAAGTGATGGTAAAAAAATTTTATCGTGTGTGTGTGTGTGTGTGTGTGTGTGTGTGTGTGTGTGTGTGTTGTTATATGTGTGGGCACATATAACTTGGGATAACATCAGGAATAATGCCCTTCCTTAGTTTTAGTTCTGTGCATAGACTATCACAAAGCATATAAATTGCTATGAGGTTTAACCTGTAGAAGATGATAAGCCTATATTAAGAAAATCCAGGGAAGCTGGAGAGATGGCTCAGTGCTAAAGAGCATGTTCTGCTCTCCCTGGGGATCTGATTTCAGTTCCCAGCACCCACATTACATGGCTCACAACCACATGTAACTCTATCTCCAAGGCATGATACCCACTTCTGGCCTCCATGGGTACCTGTACTCACTCATGTGCATGTATGTATAAATACATATACTCTCTCTTTAAAAGGAAACACAGGAACTAATCTATGGAATATTCCTTTACAGTGTGTGAATATATGTCACTGTGATTGGTTTAATAAAGAAGCTGACTGACCAAGAGCTGAACAGGGTGGGAGGGGTGGAGTCGGAGGAGTTACAAGTAGATGCAGAGGAGCAAGAAGGGCATGCCGTGCTAAGAGAAGGCACCAAGGTACATGGCAAAGCATAGATAAGAAATAGGGGTTAATTTAAATGTAAGAGTTAGCTAGTAACAAGCCTGAGCTATTGGCCAAGCATTTATAATTAATATTAAGCTTCTGTGTGGTTACTTGGGAACAGCTTGCAGGAGCTCCAACAAAACTTCACACAAAAACTTCCAGCACTAATCAGGAAGTTGAGACTGACTGGGATGGTCCCCACAGGGGAGAAACAGACCACACCCTGGATGAGCTCTCCAAAACTGGAGCTTTGAAGACAATAGCCCCTCCATGTTCTAAATCTGACTCCTTCCCACCAACTCTTGGCTCCCAAATACTGGCTTTTGAGTGGCAAATTGTGTCTGCTAAAGACAAGCCTTGGGTTGAACCCTGAGCCTGTAGAATTCTCTCTCTATGGATGAAAGTTGACTTTCTAGTTTATATTCAATGGCATGGTTTTCTCTGGGCTACTGTCCACCACTCCTCCTAACAACATGTACAAACCACTAAGAAAGAAAGACAGTCCATGAATGGAAAGGGCAGAAGTTGCCAGTCCTTTCTAGAAAGCTCACTTCCCAAAATACATAGCTGTCTAGCTCTAGGAAGGCCACAGAACAAACACAGCTTATATTTCTAAAAGGCCATAGAGGGCCAGTGAGATGCTCAGTGTGTAAATGGTTGGACCATGCAAATCCAACCTGGGTTGGGTCCTGCCTGGAAGCCAGGGTGGAAAGAGAACCAACTCCTGACATTGTCTGACCTCCTCACTCACATATACACATGACACACAGTAATGACAAATTTTAAGAGCTTAGAAATTGGGAGGCTGAACTTCTGGAGTCCAGACCCCAGCTATACCAATTATCCTTGTGAATTAGGACAAGCCATCTGTCTCCTCTGAGCACCAAGGCCCTTCATCTGCACGAGTCATTCAAGATGTTATGATCAGGCTCATAGCTGCTTCTCAGGGAACTTCTCATTCCCTTTTTACCTTCTCCTTCCTAGGATCTGAGTATTGTAGGTAAGCTGAAGGTCATTCACTCATCTTTCTAAATAAATCACCAAAAGGGGGTATATGAGGAAAAAAACAGAGATGATATAACTTCCTGTTTACTTCCTAAATGCTTGCTACATCCCCTCCCCACCAAAAAGGAGAGGAAGTTGTTGGCTCTACAGCAGTCACTTATGGGGATGGGGGTTGTTGAGGATTGAACCCAGAGCCACATACATGGTAGGCAAGCCTCAACCATTGGGCTATACCACCAGCTTCACGATTTTGTTTTGTTGTTTGGTTGGTTTGGGTTTTTTTGTGTTGGGGGGGGTGTTTTTGATTTGGGGTTTTTGTTTTGTTTTCTTAGTTTTTTTCAAGACAGGGCTTCTCTGTGTAGTCTGGCTGTCCTAGAACTTGCTCTGTAGACCAAGCTGGCCTCAAACTCAGAGATCCGCCTGCCCCTGCATCAAGAGTGCTGGGATTAAAGGCGTGTACCACCACCACCCAGCTCTATATATCATTTTCAAAAAAAAATGTTTAATGTGGTCTGCAAGATTTATGGCATTTTCTAACCTGTGTCTATCTAAGGGTGGGAAGAACCACCTTACCAAGGAGCAGATTGAGAAAAAGGAAAGGCAGGCCAGCATCACGGCTCTAGTAAAGGCGCTTGATGGCAGGGTTGAAGACCCGAGTTCAATCCCCAGAAGTCCCTATGGTTCCCACTCCACACACATGCTATGGCCCTCCAGCTGTCTCCCCCCTCCCCACAGCTCTCCCTCTCACACAGCAAGTGTAGTTTTATTTAATTTATTTATTTTTTATTTTTTGTTTGAGACAGGGTTTCTCTGTGTAGTTTTGGAGCCTGTCCTGGATCTCGCTCTGTAGACCAGGCTGGCTTTGAACTCAGAGATCCGCCTGGTTCTGCCTCCAGAGTGCTGGGATTAAAGGCGTGTGCCACCACCGCCCGGCTCAAGTGTACTTTTAAAACAAAAGAAAGAAGGGGCTGGAGAGATAGCTCAGTGGTTAGGAGCACTTACTTCTCTTCCAGTCCCCAGCACCCACGCTGTGCAGCTCACAACTGCCTAAAACTCCAGAGGACTCATCCAGTGCCCGCCTCTGGCCTTGGTAAGCATCTGCATACACATGGCATACACACATACACACACACACACACACATTTTTAAAGTTAAAAAGGGGAGGAAAACAGAAAAACAAAATAAATAAATGTATTTGTCGTCTTCTGCAGGGGATTTTCCTGAAATGGTGTCTCTGGCCCCGGTTTCAGGTCCCCTCCTTTGTACCCTAAATAACCCCAAATTTTTCAAACAGACCGTGAAGCTAGGTCACCGGGTAATTAGTAACGTTTTAGATGTCTCAGCTGCCACAGGACAGACCGTCAGGCTCTGCCTTCACCGTGTGCGGGCTGCCACAGTCACAGGAGCCCTCCTCCTCTGAGCAGGAAGGGCTTAGCTGCCTCCAGGATGTCCAGCGTGGGGTCCAGCGAGCGCCCAAGCCCCTCCAGCACCATGATGGCGAACACAATGGAGGCAAAGTTGCTCTCGAGCTTGACCTGGACCAGAACAGAAAAGAGCAGTTCTTCCCGAGCTCAGGACGCG